TTCTTAAAAATAATGACACGGTATCCGGAAATGCACACTTAACGCCTCAGTTAATTAAATTTCAGTTAACGAATTACTTCCATAAGATTCTCCTCCACCCCAATTTCCTTCTTCTCCTTTTCTCCTCCACCTCCCACTTCAAATTTACATCAGCATCATCATCCAGGAGCCTTCTATATACCTCAAAGTAAGTGTACTTCACTGCATTTTTTTTTTTGACTTTAGGTAATTTTCGGTGAGCTGGAACCAATTAACTAAAACCCATTGAAACAATGGTTTCAGTTAACGAAATTTTCAGTTAGCGAACACCCTTCTGGAACGAATTGTGTCTAACCGAGGGATGACTGTATATGTTGGCGTTCCCAATCCATCGCTTTTTTTTTCTTTGCCATTAGTGGTTAGCTACTTCTGTTGTTCCATTTATTAACATTAAATAACGTTACTTAAAACATATATATTAATTTTTTTACATTAATTTTACTACAACTACAACCAGGGTCTTATTTTCTTCATTTTCTCGTGTAGAACTATCGTCCCGGACTCCCGGCTGTAAACACAAACGAAAACAATGGCGTCCCATCTCCTCTTGTGTGACCATATTAATAGTGGGGTATGCTATAACGAATCTAATTGGTTCTAGAACCCCGTTCGTTATAGCATTTGTTCATTATAGGATTAATCCATTCCAGGCCCCAAATACAACCACTTAACACCGAAAAATTTCTGTGGAAATTGTAAAAACACGGGTACTTTATCTTACCTTAGTGTTGTTCAGCATGCAGGACAGGAGGCAGAGAAGGAGGGGGGAGGAGGAGAATTATGGAGAAGAGGTGGAAGGAGGAGGAGTCATCCTTCCTAGCCCCCTTTTGGTGACTGTCTACAGGCTTCTTTGTCTGTGCCGATCTTTTAATAGTTTCTTAAAGAAGGAATCCAGGGTTATTGCTTCAACCTTGATTTCTGACCTTCCAGAAGTAGTTCATCACAGTGTCATTAAAAATACTGAGGCTCCTTTTCAACAGAAGCAACATCAGGATGATAACTCTCCACACCTAATACCCACTTTGTTCCAGCTGGAGAACAATTGCGAGAATTTTGGCAGGAATGACGTGGGCTTCTCCTGTCCTCATCCTCCCCCTGACTCCCTCAGAAGCTACTCCACTTCAGTGTGTCTGTCTCTTTAGTATGAAGCCTAAGCAGCTCCTCAGTGGACAGCCCTTCCTGCTCATCCACCAACCTCAACATCATCATCATCCACTTCCAGGTCCATGGAATTGCCCAGACACAATTTCATGTACAACAGCCTCTTCCTCTTAACTACATCCAAAGCCTTCAAAGTCTCTTTTGAAGCACACATTCAGGCCACAATGGCTCAAGCAAAGCACAACAAAGACACCTCAAGAAACCTCTTCCAGGCTGACACAATAAAACACAGCATCTGCTATATTGAAGTGACTCTTCCAAAATTCCTTCAAACTAACATAACTGGAAGAAGTGGCTGCAAAAACATTTTCTAAACAGTGCCTTTTGTGTACAGCTTTCTTAAAAGTTTGAAATTACCTGTTGATCCACAATGATGAGGAGGTGTTGTGTTGGGTGGCAAGAAGCACAGTGATGAAGTTGAACCCAGGCAATTCAACCATCAAATTAGGAGGGTGGGCTGGTACTGTCCATCACCAACAAAGCTTTCAATGGAAGATTATTCTCCATGAGGTATTCTCAACACTGGGTCCAAACACTCTAGTCACCCACTCAGCGAAAAGAAAGACTCCTGGTCACCAAGCTTTTTGGGTTTGGACTGCCACATAACACCACATGTGTTCTTCCTAATGTTTTGAAAAGCTCTAGGGCTTTCTGCATGGTACTCCAAGGAGTGGTTTTATCTTGCAGTCACCAGAAGCATTAGCACAAACAAGGAGGGTAAGCCTGTCTTCATCTGCTATGGCCAGGACAGAAGTTTTCCTCCTTGTAATGTATGTAATGGCGAGGCATTTGTTTCAAAAAGTCCAGTTTCATCACAAAGCAAATACCTGCTGAGAAACAAAGCCTCCTCTGAATCACATTAAAAATGTCATGGTGTTCCCTAGCTGCTTCCTTATCTGCACTAGCAGCTTCACCATGTCTCACAACATTGTGTAACTTATTTCTTCTTTTCTGAAACCAGTAAACCAACCCCCTCGGCGTACTCCTAAACACTGGCACAGCACTAGCACTTCCACTGGGAGTCTTGGCTTTAGTCCTCAAACAATTATTTGGCCTCTCTCACAAATTATAGCTTCACTTAATGCCAACACCTGTCATTTCTTTCTCCTTTATCCACACGAAGAGTATATTTTCCATCCTTCAATCGCATTTACACGTTGTTTTGCTAAGTCTAGAGATTCCCTTAGCCACTTGCACAGTTTTCAACTCCTCTTTATTCTTCAAAAATCGGCATATTGTCGAGATTTAGCCATATCCCATATTCATATCTAGTTTCGCAATGCTTGTTCCATTCTCACGCCTTTTATTTATAATTTCTTTCTAATTTCAAGCGGTTATTAGCTTTTCACTGTTTGGACGTATTCATTGTTATAATTAAAATAATCTTTTTATAACAAAATAGTTACCGTGATAAAAAATAACACTTAATTTCACATCAAAAGACAATTTCAAATAAAGTTCAGTGGTGCACTGACTAAACAATGAAACAAAGATATACCGATGCTCTTGTTGTGAGCCGCTGTAATAATATTCATGCAGGACGAATTAGTTCCGTATTCATCAGCGTATTTGTAGGAGTTTCGTTCGTTATAGCATTCTCAATTTTATAGGTAAAACCGTTCTTTATAGGAATATTCGTAGTAGAATCCGTTCGTTATAGCATACCCCACTTTTATCATTTATAGTGTATAAGGTACATTCAGAAACATTATTTAAAGAATATAGTTTACAATTTTCTTTGGGGGAAAAAGATATGAAAAGGTCACACTTGGGAATGCATCTCATTATTATTGCTTTATTTTAATGGTAATTAATGATTCGCGATAAGACGATTCACCTAACACTACAATGTTGGGGGACACATTAACATCGTTATTCGAGGCTTTACTGTACATCCCCTTGTCCTGCACGTCATTTGTTGTTACCCATCTATTGAATTTTTTAGATTTTTTCCAAACCTTGTTGGCCACCGCATGGTTCACGTGTAATGGTCCCCTTGTATTCCTGGAGCCAGTAGTGGGTTTAATCTTGGGTATATATTTATCAATCAAGTATATCACTATATTGGCTATGATATTCAGCGTAGTGTCTGCATTCTTGTATCTCATTGAGACAGGCCAGTGAATACCCCTTATCTCCTCCTTCATCCTGTCATAATTGCCCTTGTAATATTTGAACCCTGGCCTGGTTTTATCATGAACCAAGTATCAGTTAAAACTGAAGGACAACATTACCACGTTCCAGCTTGGCCACCATACCCTCCTTGTTAGTTATGATGAGGTCTAGCAGTTTGGTGTTTGGTCTCCTCTGTATTGAGTTGGCTCTTTAGCATGTTGAAATAGAAAATTGCCTCTCAGAGTTTCTACAAAAAGAGTGCCGCGATTGTTTAGGTCATTTGGCGTGGTTTCATTTCTCCAGTCGGTGTCACCATCGTTAAAGTCCCCATGACAAGGAAGTGGCTGGGGTTAGTGCCGTTGTATAGTCAATTAAGGCTCTTAAGTTCCCTTGGTTTAATAAGGTACATTTTGAGTATCTGTAGTTATGTATAACAATTAGTAAGTCTCTCCCTTTTAGTTTAATTTTACATCACTTCGATTCTTCAAAAAAATATCCTCCCCTGCATCTCACCTGGCTGGCTCTAAGGTCTTACCTAGAGTAGATAACCACACCCCTCTTTCAAGTTGCATGAGAAGGCTCATGAGTCATATCCATCTATATTGAACTCACATTCCTCCTGGTTGATTCTCCTGTTCTTACACAATTCTACAACACCTCAGGTTGATGTGTCTTGAGTAAGGTTTTAAACTCCAGACACTTATCAAGGAAAGTGTTAGTAATAATTAGTGTACATAATTTTCCAGCCAAGAAATAGTCCTGATTAATGTCTCTGTTCTGGGTCATGATTCCAGCCTCCTTCCATTTTCAGAAGCTGCCTCATTTACTACACTCGTCAGATTTTTGGGTGTGGTCAGAGATGACATTGTTTACACGGTGCTCGCTTCCTCCTGGGTGGAGGTGACGGGTAGGGGGTGTCTCACTGCCCCTGGTTCTGTACTGGTGTACTTGCCTCCACTATTTTCCCTTGTATATATCCCATCCACGTCTGTCCTTGTTTTTCATCGAATCCTCCCTTTTCTGCTTCAAGGGTTCTTTGTGCTGTTCCCTCTGCATTACCATGTAATCTGGGTTTATGAATATGCCCTCGAATGTTATGTTTTTTGCTATTTTTTTCTGCCTACCAAATAACATCCAATATTTTTACTCATTTCTAGTGTGATCCTAAGGGGGCGAGGTTTATTCTCTTGCTTTTGTCCTAGCTTCCTTACATCGTGAGGGGAAGCTGACATATTTAGAGCCTCCTCACAAATATTCTTAAACTCCATCTTTTCGTGTTTTCCTGCTTTTAGTTTCCTCTGACTGACTCTCAGGGGCTCCAAACACGATTATATTGTTCTTGTGCTCAAGTTGTTCCCAGTGTTCCTCCTCTCCCATGCCAGTAGGCAGTGGTGGGCACAGCTAAATGAAAAGTTAGCTTCGCTAACCGCTAATCTGCTAACTAAAAAGTTAACTTCGCTAACGGGGGGGCTCTAAAACCCTTAAAACAGACCTAGAGAGCTGAAATTTTCATAAGTTGTCTTGTAGCTTAGACATAGAGCTTTCCAAAAAGGTATAGCATGCCAAGATCAGATGATGATCAAGGTGTACACAAATAATTAAATGAACAAATGAAATTTAACATTAGTTTACATTCAAGTTTCAGCATACACTGTAAGACTGCTTAGACTGTCTGTAACGTGACAATGTCGTAAGTGAACTGAACTCAGAACTGCGGAATTACACGATACTGCTCAAGGCAGTGCGGCGTTGACAAATCATGTCTTGTCACGTCGAGTAACACGCAGTCAGCCAAGTGTGCCTGACTGGCTGTTGGAGTCACGTCACAGGCGTCACCGCTATAAACAGACAGGAACAAACATGTATAAATTTTGTTAGCGGACTTAAAGTTAGCAGAATTAAATTTAGCGGAAGCTAATTGGTCTGCTAATGGTTTCCAAAGTTAGCAAAAATGCTAATCCGCTAACGAGAAAGTTAGCTTCACTAATTAGTGGTTAGCGGATTAGCGGAACCAAGCCCACCACTGCCAGTAGGCTTACTAGTTGTAATCTTTTCAATACTTGTCTGCAGAGTCCCTATCTGCTGTAGAACCTGTTCAGATCCTACATTACTCTCTGTCCTCTTTTGTGACCCTGCTGTAATCTGAGCATAACTTCTCTAACTACTGCCTCCATTCTATCGGCTATTTCTTCAGTCTTAGTGAGGATATCATTCGGAAGCTACTCTAGTTTGGCAACCAATAAAGATTCTGCTTCATCTATTTTTGTCTCTAGGTGTCTCCTTCCCTTATGATGCACAATAGTCTCATTGATTTTGGTCTCACAATCAGGGTAATGCCAGCAACAGGTTCCATTCATTATGTTATTCACTAGTTGCCTAAAACCTGCTAACTTTGCCAAATCTGCACAGTCCCTGCAAAATTTACCCTCATGGAAGTTGCATGCCAGCAAACTCAAGTTGTTTCACTACACCTATACATGTACCATCTCAGCGCTTCTTATTACTTTTTGTGCTTATTTTTACTTGTGATGAGACACACAGCCATTCACAGCTGTCACAAGCTGTGTCGGTGACAAGCTCAAGCCATGGCGAAGGTGCTGGGGGGGGGGAAGTGTATGGCAGTTGGTGTCAGATGCATAAATTTTTATTTTAATGCACCTTTAAGTACTTTCTCTGAGTCAAGGAATTTACTTCCTGATGTGTCACACTTTTGTTCTAAGAGTATTTGGGACAATATAAGACCTTTAAAGTGGACAAGTGTTGGTGTTAAAGATCTTTAACTGCCACGACTCGGCTGTATTCCACATAGACAGGCTTTGTAGCCTCTCACTTTATTTTGAGGAAGAAATCACCATGTTACTGGGATGACTCCCTTTATAATCACATTGTTACCACCAATGAAGTGGTAAGTATGCGACGTCTGGATGAGAAGATCCGTGCACGTGGACTCAATGGTGTTTAATGGTCAAAACCTGTCAATACAATGTTAACACATTACTCTTGATTTGTAAATTACAGGTCAGGTGACAAAGAACAGCTTCATATTGTATACAACGGCAACATCATTTAATACACACTTATCTGAATATGACAAAGGCGTATACATAGTATCTCCCAATACATAAATTTTAGAACATAGGAGCATAGACTTGCGTGTACCGGGTCTAATAACTAGTCTGTAGGTGACAGTGCTCACAGTTAGACAGTGCATCTTGAATGACCCACCCAGGACAGATCGTGCGGTCTCGGCTGAACCACTACCGTCAACACTGCTAGCCTCCCCTCACTCCTTCAACTTAACTAATTAACTCCGTGTTCTTATCAACTATTTTTCCATATTGCCGTTTCATAACACCCACATATGTTATCACAAATTCCACACTACCTCTCGCCCTGTGTGGGGCGGTAACATACACTTCATGTAAGATGTAATCTCAGTGTACTAAGATATGCGTGCATTCATGTCCTGGTGGCAGGATACTAATATAATTTAAAAGTCACTTGGCTGTCCTGCTGTCCTTGTTGGCATCCTCATTCGACCAGTGTTGCTGTCTGGGAAAGTTAATTCCTCCGTTGTTTTATCTTTTTTTTTTCCAGTTTTCCTCGACGATTTGTTGTATCAGTCTGATCAACCTATGTACAGTCAGTCACAAGCATGGAAATGTCTGTTTTAAATTTTCTGTATAAATCTCGGCATATGGCATTAATTTTATGGTTGTGCCCACACAGCTTGGCTCTGGTCCACTAAGACGATCATCATAATCTTATGACTTCACTTCCCAATTTCTGTTATTCAACAACGAGAACCCAAATACTGTACCGTGATGTCTCCGTTAGTCGGAACAATTGGTGCAGAGCACTTCCAGGAATGAGAAATTTCCGGGTAATGAGACGACTCTCTCAAAGCCGGAAAAAAATCCATCATCCTCGAAATTTTAAGGGTAACAGGAAAGTGTTCTCGGAAGTTCCAGAAATTGCACATTGCATCATCTCTCAAACCTGGAAAATATCCCCCATCCCGGTAATTTTCCAGGTACCGGAAATTTCTTTCAAAATTTCCAGAAAATGTGCCTGATTTTCATCTCTCGAACCCGGAAAAAAGATTTCCCCATCCCCGGAATTTTCTGGGTACAGTATTGGGAAAATTTTCTCAGAATTTTTCCATAATGTTTCGAGTAACGTTCAAAGCTGAATTTTCCAGAAAATTCTGGGTTTGGGAACATTCCGAGAAAATTTCAATTCCAGCTAGTCTTTACTAACACAGTTTCCTTAATGTAAATTAGTGAGACACACTGGATAGTAATTCATCTCTTTATGATAATTATTAAATTGATTGTCTGATTTGTCATCATTATATTTGCAGCACAGAAGTTTGGGTGGACCTAGTGGATTTCTCCTCCACCCTAGTTTTCTTAGACCTAGGGTGGAAGGGTTCAACAAGAGGGAGGATCTACATTCGGCTGAGACCTGACACTGAGCTGGCCAGACAGTTCATGTGGTTGAGTACTGGACAGAAAGGTCCCTCATTCCTCCACTCCTGTCTCTTGGGAAAATTCAACCATGGCAAATACAATGAGGTTTTAGCTGGCGGAGACTACGAGAAGAACAATGGGCAGGAGGCCACACTACTGCCAGGGATGGATGACTGCAAGGAGTACAAAAGGGCTGGCAAGCAGGGGATGGTGACATCACGGTACGGTTCTTCATCTCCCAGCAGTGCCCAGTTCTTCATCTACACCAAAGACCCATCAAATTATACTTTAAGTAATGTGTTTGGTCAGGTGGAGGAAGGGATGGAGGTGGTGGAGAGAGTAGCCGCGTCTTCATACATAAATGAAATGAAAGTGGTTGACTGTGGTGTGGTGCCTCTTAATATTGGTGTGATTATATAGCTCACCTCACCATGTATCACTACCATTTATATCATCTACCTGTATCACTAACATGTGTCATCTTCCTTTATCACTAACATGTGTCATCTTCCGGTATCACTAACATGTGTCATCTTGTTGTATCACTAACATATGTCATCTTGTTGTATCACTAACATATGTCATCTTCCTGTATCACTACCATGTATCATCTACCTGTATCACTAACATGTATCATATACCTGTATCATATACCTGTATCACTAACATGTGTTATCTTCCTTTATCACTAACATGTGTCATCTTCCGGTATCACTAACATGTGTCATCTTGTTGTATCACTAACATATGTCATCTTGTTGTATCACTAACATATGTCATCTTCCTGTATCACTACCATGTATCATCTACCTGTATCACTAACATGTATCATATACCTGTATCATATACCTGTATCACTAACATGTGTCATCTTCCTTTATCACTAACATGTGTCATCTCCGCATCACTAACATGTGTCATCTTGCTGTATCACTAACATGTGTCATCTTCCTGTATCACTACCATGTATCATCTACCTGTATCACTAACATGTATCATATACCTGTATCATATACCTGTATCACTAACATGTGTTATCTTGCTGTATCACTACCTGTATCACTAACATGTGTCATCTTCCTGTATCACTAACATGTGTCATTTTCCTGTATCACTACCATGTATCATCTACCTGTGTCACTAACATGTGTTATCTTCCTGTATCACTACCATGTATCATCTACCTGTATCACTAACATGTGTCATCTACCTATATCACTACCTGTATCATCTACCTGTATCACTACCTGTATCATCTACCTGTATCACTACCATGTATCATCTACCTGTATCACTAACATGTATCATCTACCTGTATCATTACCATGCATCATCACCTGTATCACTACCTGTATCATCTACCTGTATCACTACCATGCATCATCTACCTGTATCACCAATCTCAGTCATCTTCCTGTATCACTACCATGTATCATCTACCTATATCACTAACATGTATCATCTACCTGTATTACTACCATGTATCATCTACCTGTATCACTACCATGTATCATCTACCTGTATCACTAACATGTGTTATCTTTCTGTATCACTACCATGTATCATCTACTTGTATCACTACCATGTATCATCTACCTGTATCATCTACCTGTATCACCAACATGTGTCATCTACCTGTATCACTACCATGTATCATCTTCCTGTATCACTACCATGTATCATCTACCTGTATCACTAACATGTGTCATCTACCTGTATCACTAACATGTGTCATCTACCTGTATCACTACCATGTATCGTCTACCTGTATCACTAACATGTGTCATCTTCCAGTATCACTAACATGTGTCATCTTCCAGTATCACTAACATGTATCATCTTCCTGTATCACTAACATGTGTCATCTACCTATATCACTACCTGTATCACCACCTGTATCACTCCACCATCATCTTCCTGTATCACTACCTGTATCATCTACCTGTATCTCTAACATGTGTCATCTACCTGTATCACTACCTGTATCATCTACCTGTATCATCTACCTGTATCTCTAACATGTATCATCTACCTGTATCACTACCATGTATCGTCTACCTGTGTCACTAACATGTGTCATCTTCCAGTATCACTAACATGTATCATCTTCCTGTATCACTAACATGTGTCATCTTCCTGTATCACTACCATGTATTATCTACCTGTATCACTAACATGTCATCTTCCTGTATCACTACATTCATTGTATCACTAACATATGTCATCTTCCTGTATCACTACCATGTATTATCTACCTGTATCACTAACATGTGTCATCTTCCTGTATCACTACCGGTATCATCTTCCTGTATCACTAACATGTGTCATCTTCCTGTATCACTACCATGTATTATCTACCTGTATCACTAACATGTGTCATCTTCCTGTATCACTACCGGTATCATCTTCCTGTATCACTAACATATGTCATCTTCCTGTATCACTACCATGTATTATCTACCTGTATCACTAACATGTGTCATCTTCCTGTATCACTACCGGTATCATCTACCTGTATCACTACATATGTCATCTTCTGTATCACTACCATGTATTATCTACCTGTATCACTAACATGTGCATTCCTCCCTGCATCACTAACATGTATCATCTCCTGTATCACTACAATATCATCTCCCTATCACTACCATGTATTATCTACCCGTATCACTAACATGTCACCTATCACTGTATCATCTACCTGTATCACTAACATATGTCATCTCCGTATCACTACCATGTATTATCTACCTGTATCACCAACATGTGTCATCTCCTGTATCACTACGGCATCATCTTCCTGTATCACTAACATGTGTCATCTTCCTGATCACTACCATGTATTATCTACCTTATCACTAACATGTGTCATCTTCCTGTATCACTACCAGTGTATCATCTTCCTGTATCACTAACATATGTCATCTTCCTGTATCACTACCATGTATTATCTACCTGTATCACTAACATGTGTCATCTTCCTGTATCACTACCGGTATCATCTACCTGTATCACTAACATATGTCATCTTCCTGAGTCACTACCACCATGTGAAACTTCCCAGTGTCACTACCACCATGTGAAACTTCCCAGTGTTACTACCACCATGTGTCATCTTCCTCTCACTACCACCATGTGTAACTTCCCAGTGTCACTACCACCATGTGAAACTTCCCAGTGTTACTACCACCATGTGTCATCTTCCTCTCACTACCACCATGTGTAACTTCCAGTGTCACTACCACCATGTGAAACTTCCCAGTGTTACTACCACCATGTGTCATCTTCCTCTCTCACTACCACCATGTGTAACTTCCCAGTGTCACTACCACCATGTGAAACTTCCCAGTGTTACTACCACCATGTGTCATCTTCCTCTCTCACTACCACCATGTGTAACTTCCCAGTGTCACTACCACCATGTGTAACTTCCCAGTGTCACTACCACCATGTGTAACTTCCCAGTGTCACTACCACCATGTGTCATCATCCTCTCTCGCTACCACCATGTGTCATCCTCCCTCAATACCTCCATTGGAACTTCCCAGTGTCACTACCACCATGTGCCATCTCCCTGACTCACTACCACCATGTATCATCCCTCCTCACTACCATCATGTGTAATCACAGTGTCACTACACACCATGTCATCTCCTTTGTCACTACCACCATGTGTCATCTCCTGTGTCACCACCACCATGGTCATCTCCTTGTGTCACTACCACTATGTATCTCCTTGTGTCACTACCACCATGTGTCATCTCCTGTCACTACCACCATGTGTCATCTTCTTGTGTCACTACCATCATGTGTCATCTCCTTGTGTCACTACCACCATGTGTCATCTCCTTGTGTCACTACCACAATGTTTGACCTCTGTACCACTACCACCATGTGTGACCTCTGTATCACTACCACCATGTGTGACTTCTGTATCACTACCACCATGTGTGACCTCTGTATCACTACCACCATGTGTGACCTCTCTATCACTACCACCATGTGTGACCTCTGTATCACTACCACCATGTGTGACTTCTGTATCACTACCACCATTTCAGACCCTGTATCACTCCACCACCAGTGTGACCCCCCATCACTAGCACCATGTGTACCTCTGTATCACTACCACCATGTGTGACCCTGTATCACTACCACCATGTGTGACTCTGTATCACTACCACCATCTGTGACCTCTGTATCACTACCATGTGAGTCTCTGTATCACTACTACTATGTGCCTCTTATCACTACACATATGTGACCTCTGTATCACTACCACCATCTGTGACCTCTGTATCACTACCACCATGTGTGACCTCTCTATCACTACTGTGTGACCTCTGTATCACTACCACCATGTGTGACCTCGTATCACTACCACCATGTGTGACCTCTGTATCTCTACCACCATTGTAACAATGTAAGATTCCCACAAATTTTGAGGCAGTAGTATGGAGGTCTTAGGCCTGTCTTCAGCCAATGAGGAGTCGTATGAGACATGACGTCATGAAGCTGTCCCACTGTGCCACCCAGTTTGATAAAGTCAGACTGCGTTGGAATTTGTGCATGGAGGTGTAGGACATCTGTGATGGCGACATGGCAATGAGTATTTGGGTGTATTCTGTTTGGTAAATCCTTAAGTTCCCATTTGTAGTGAGATAAGTGGTTTCCTTTGAACTAGCTAGAAGATAGGTTTATTATTTTGAAGTGTAACTGTTAAACCCTAATATAAAGTATTAAATAAATACAGTAACGGTTAATAAGAGTCCTAATGGTTCCTCCCTTATTGAGAAGGAGTAATGTGTTATAAATGTCTTGGTATTATGCAGTAATACAGTGTGTCCAATATATATAATAACCAGGCCCGGATTTACCTACTTGGCTGGCCAAACTCATCAGTGGGCCCCAAATTTATGAAATGTTTATATATATATATATATATATATATATATATATATATATATATATATATATATATATATATATATATATATATATATATATATATATATATTTTTTTTTTTTTTTTTTTATATATATATATATATATATATATATATATATATATATATATATATTACATATTATATCTTATTATTATATATATATATATATATAGTCATGGCCATGTGTATAGCGCGTTCTTAAGACAAATTTTTAAAGGTGACACCCTCTTAGTAACTTGGTTTTAATGTTTACCAGTAACTGCATTGTGACCAAACGTGCTGCGTGTGCGTACAGTTGCGTCATCATAGCAAGCCCAAATGTGCAAATGCATGTTGTAATATTGTGCACAGGGTATGTAGAACATAAAGTATTCATTTTTAAAAGTTTATTTATAGATACATAAATTTTGTTAATTAAATTTGAAACATCAATATGATGTGAGTTAGGTCATCTACACACAGTTGCCAGTT